ATAGAAACAACCAGAAAAACAAACAAAAATAGCCTTTAAAATAGAAACAACCAGAAAAACAAACAAAAATAGCCTTTGAAATAGAAACAACCAGAAAAACAAACAAAAATAGCCTTTAAAATAGAAACAACCAGAAAAACAAACAAAAATAGCCTTTAAAATAGAAAGCAAACGCAAGGAACTCCAGAAACCACCAACAGTACAACAAAACAAAAACTCGATTTTGAATTCTGTTCTGATTGCAGCTTCAAAGTAGCCTGCCTTCTAAGTCCACGGAAAACCGCTTGAATAGGAACTGTTTTGCTTGACAAACCGTTAATGAATTTTGAGATCTGATTCTTGATCCTGTATCGTGTTACACATTATTTTTATAAATAAATTTATATTATTATTCAGTGCGCGGTCGTATATCACACTGATCTTGACAAACTATCGTGAGAGAAATGGAGATCCTTTTGTTCAGCAGCGCTCTCCTTCCACTTTTTCTGAAGACCTGCGGGTTTGTCCGAAGTTACTGGCCAGATTATAAGTTTGCGATACGCTAGAATGATATTATGTAAATTCACCAAACATAAATTATGCTAATGCAACCAGCACCGGGTTACTTACAACTGAATATTAGGTCAGGGTAAATTGAGAACTTCTCGCTTTTTTATTGCTCACGATACTGAAATAGGATACTGAAAAACGTTATGTACGAGGCGTTGTTTTATTGCCTCGTTCGTGGGTGTTGTTGTAAGTGGTAAATCCGATATCATTGATTATTGTATTCAGTAGTGATTCCCGTACCATTCAATATTGTATCCAGTGGTCAATGAAATACGCACCGAGTATTATTTGTACGAGAAGTGTCAAATCAGATATAATTCAGTATTACACTTCAGTGATAAATCAGATTAACATTGCGTATTGTATTCAGTGGTAAATCAGATATCAGACTCTTTTCAGTCAGACAACAGTGTCCTCTTCCACGTACTGGTTTTCCATGAATGTCTCTTGCTCCTATCTCCCCTTCCCTCTGTGCCTGTGGTGACAGCGTGACGAAGGGTATAATATAACAAGGTAATACTTTGACTGTGGGCACTACCCTCCCTTTTTTTCTCCTCTCCATCTTCACTCCCTCCATCCCCCTCCTTTATCCTACCCTTTCCTCAAGCCCAGATCAGGTGTCAAAACTTGTTTAGGCGATTCCAGACCCTATTTGTGTCACTGAAGAAATTCGTACTTTCCTATCCACTCCCCCCCCTCCTCCCCGGTCTCTGTTTCTGGTTTTGTAATGAAAGCAGAAAGACAGAAACACGCCATTTGCATTTTAAAAAAAGATCTAAATGTGAAACATCCCAGCATTGTAACACCCAATAATTAGCTGATGGCATTCATGTGGAAACGTTTTATTCGAATTACTGATGACCAAACATCTGTAGCCACTCAAAATAACCAAACTAAGAACCAACAACCACCACCACTCCCACCTCCCCGCCCAAGAAAGAAAAAAACAACACAAAAACTCACCCCATATGAAATAATATGATGATAATGATAGTAACCCCCTCCCCATGTGAAAAAAAATAAAAAAAATAAAAGCAACAACAGCCAAAAGCCCAGACGCCCAAAGGGTATCTTGCGACATTCAGCTGTCACATTTGTGAAACCTTCCTCCAAATAGCGAAAAATAAGAAAAACTTGCTGATTATAATAGCTCATCGCTCTTGAACATGTCTGAGGACGATCGAATAATAATAATATATCTGATTAAGTAGAGAGCTAAGAATGCTACACAGTCTGTTCCAGACCCGGAACTTGTGTTGATAGATAGATAGATAGATAGATAGATAGATAGATAGATAGATAGATAGATAGATAGATAGAG